TGGTTACTCGGAATAATGTTAAAAGTCAGTGTTTGCCTAAAGACTGGATGCACTGCTATGCTCATCAGCATGATTTTTGCCATATAAGCTTTTGAGGCTAAGAGTGAAACTGTTCTTTCTAAGCAGGAGAGGTATGAATGGTGCAAAGATCAGATTTCTCTGTAGCTGAAAAGAATTTGCTTTTGGGCCTTGTTGGATACATTGTAGGTCATAACCAGAACCTAATTGGCCACCTGATGCAAAGAACTGACCCATTGAAAAGACCCTGATGCTGGGAAAGACTGAAGGCGGGAGGAGAAGGGGAAAACAGAGAATGAGATGGTTGGATGGCATCACTGACTGAATGGACATGAGTTTGAGTAAGCTCCGGGAGTTGGTGATGGACAGGGAGGCCTGGTATGCTGCAGTCCATGGGGTCGCAAAGAGTCAGATATGACTGAGCAACTGAATTGACTGAATTAGATGATCTGTATAATGTGCATTCAGAAGATGAGGCCTTATTCTTAGGTAAAGCTCAGGAAGGCTGGTAAATGAACTAGGATGGCCTACTGAAGTGTGTCTGCCCAGCAGTGAGCTTCTGAGAGGAGCCCTCTTCTGACTGCGAAAGTGCTTGGTCTGAGAGGCCAGGTGCTTCAGCTGCTGTCAGGGGAGCCAGTCACTTGCAGGTATGGTCAGGACTGAACCTTTGCAAGACACCTTCTAAGGGAGGTGTTGCAGGTAGCCCCGGAAGCAGGCAGAGGTCTTTGGCAAGTTCTGAATGAAGCATTATTTCTCTGACCTGAGCCAAGAACTACAATAAAAGATCCTCTTTGAACTTAAGTTCCTTTTTTCTCAAGCGCGAAGTGAGTTTTGATCACTAACAGTACTTTCTGTGAAAGAGAACATCATGGTAGTATGCACCCTATGAAAACTGGGTGCTCAGACAAGATGATAAAGGAGGTGTGAGCAGTGTTTTGAGGGCTGAGATTCTGTATTTTTAGGAACAATATTTTAATTTTCTACAATATATTTTCCTTTTTTTTACCTTTTGATTTTGAATTATTATGTCTCTGAATCATAATAAGTCTTTCTCAGGGTTAAGGGGATCAGGTAAAGGGATGAGGCTTATTCTTGGGCTGGAATTTCCCTGTGAGTTAGCTGTAATGCAGGCTGCAGAGATTGAGGGAGGCAGAGGCAGGTGTGGTACGAAGCTCCTGGGAGGGATCCTAGCGATGTGTTGTCATGGTCATTTATTTTTAAGGTAATTTTGTTTTATTTTTAAGTTATTTCTTAAATAGGAGTATAACTGCCTTACCATGTTGTGTTTCCGCGGTACAACATGATTCAGCTATATGTTGATATGCATGTATCTCCTTCCTCCTGAGCCTCCCTCCCTTCCATCCCATACCCCTCTAGGTCCTCCCAGAGCTCTGAGCTATTTTTTCTAAAACTGCAAAGCATATGTATCTCAACCAATGAGAGCTGATTAAAATCACTGCTGCTGCTGCTAAGTCGCTTCAGTCGTGTCCAACTCTGTGCGACCCCATAGACAGCAGCCCACCAGGCTCCCCCGTCCCTGAGATTCTCCAGGCAAGAACACTGGAGTGCGTTGCCATTTCCTTCTCCAATGCATGAAAGTGAAAAGTGAAAGGGAAGTCACTCAGTCATGTCTGACTCTTCATGACCCCATGGACTGCAGCCCACCAGGCTCCTCCATCCATGGGATTTTCCAGGCAAGAGTACTGGAGTGGGGTGCCATTGCCTTCTCTGGATTAAAATCACTACCTCCTTCCAATTCAACTTGCCCTCCGATGTGCTTGCCTTCAGCTGGGTGGCATTGAACTGAACATGGTGTTTTGTATATGTTATAAGGTATATTTTTCTTAAAGATCTTCCAAGTTGCATAAGTTTCAGGCCTTACAAACATGGATCTTCCCCTGGGGTTAGGAATGCAGTGGATAGCGAATCAGAAATTGCCTATGTAACAGAGTCAGCCAAAATGTCGAGTCACATATGAACATGTGGAGATGCGAGTGAAAGTGAATTGGCATCTGTATTCCTACCAGTTTCTGACAGTAGGCACACAGAGTTTTTCCCTCTTCTTAAAGATCTGTTTTGAACAGGAATGTCCTTTGCATGGTATACTTTTATGTATTGGTTAAGAGAAATACATCATATTAAATATTTAAAATTATGCATTCTTAAAAATAATGCAGATTGACAATGAGTTGTGTGAAAATAATGATGAGAAACTGCTGGTGGAAGAGATTAACTGTATTCTCCCTTTTCCCCTGCTACTTTCCATAATTATAAAACCTTTCTCTCAAGTTCCCTTCTGAGAGAGAAATGCAGCCAACAAAAAGTCAGCAGAAACTGGAGGCAATTTACAGCACTCCAGGGTGGAACTGTCTCTGATAGACTATCAGTGGAATCTTGTGAGGTGAGGGTCTCTTATGCCTTCTCCCCTTTTCTCTTCACACACCTGTGGTTCTTGTTACTGTCATACTTACTCTCTTTTTATTTGTCTGAGTACACAGTTTGCAAATGAGGAGTCTGTCCAAAGAGTCTGAGCTTGGTGAATAAGGGTTCCTTTTAGCCATGTCTGTGAGTTTCTGATTCTGGGAGATCTTTGAAGATATATTTTATCTGGATATGTAAAAAGTTTCTTTATAAAATTCAAAAAACTGTCTTATAGTTGGTGACAAGGATACTGAGGAAAGGGATGATCATTCATTATATCAACTGTTTCCCAAATGATACCTAGTTAACATGTTATGGAAAGGAACCAAGCCTAAAAGAGATGCCCATTTAATGAGGCCGAGTAATGTCTTGATGACTAAGGAAAAACTTACAAGGCAAGTCTTAAGCCAGCGTCCAGACATTATCATTAACATAAAGACAAGTTGAGTAGCTATTTGATCAATTTCCCCAGATCTGAACCCTCAAAACTCAAGCACTGTCATTCTGTCAGAGCACTGTCAGAGAAAAGATTAAAAACCAGTGATTGTAATTGTTGGCTATCTTGTAATCCTGGGCTATATCCCAAGGGTAGGATTTGACTCCGATTTTTATTTTGTGTTTAGAACCAGCCATGGCAGTCTCTGTGCTCAGCACAAAGAACTTATTAATGGTGGTAAGTGTGTTCTAAACGCTCTGCTCTGGGGAGTTTGTGGCCCTTTGGACTCTTCATGCTGTGGACGTTTCTTAAAAAGCCCAGAAAGGGCATCTTTTATAGATAAACATGAGTCTTATTGCACGTGAACTTAGAACTCAGTGAAACACTGTTCTTTGGACCAAACTCTCAGGACTCACGTGCATGGCATACAGTTCATTAACTGAAAATATGATCCATCCTTCACTTCAGGTAGGCCCACAGTTGTCCACTCTTTGGATGCTGTTTTACTCTTGTAGTGTGGATGGTTTTCACAAGTTGTAAAAATTGATCAGAAATAAACGCTTTGCAGAAGAGGGAGGATTGACATTGTGATTGTCCAGCCTGTAGCCTTGCTCCTGCAATTGTGAAATCTGATCAAGATGAAAAGATGTTTTCTGTGCATTCTCCTCCAGAAATTCAGAGCTGCTGCTCTTCTGGCTTAAGTGTAACCATGCTGCCCTGAGGAGAGCTCAGAGCTGCTTTTAAATTCAAGAGGACAGCTGCTTTCTACTCACTCAGACCCTCTGAGGCCTGACCCAAGACAGCAAAGGGGTTCTTGGCAGAGACCCTCTGCCAGAGATTCAATATATGAATTTTACCATGAGATTACAAAGTTGGCCTGCTTATAAAAGGTTAATCAAAAGTTCACTGTAGGGTAGTCTTCCTTCCCTCTGATGGAATCAATTTAAATTCTGGCCTCTGAGCAACAAGATTTATTTTTCGAAGAGGCAAGCAATCCTTCTGCCAGGTAGTCCCAGAAATGCCTCTAATCTCATGGCAGGAATAAAGGAAATGGGAGAGTGAGATACTCCAAGGACATTTAACACCCCAGTTCTTTTACTTTAAAGCCGGCCAAGAAGAAGTCTGAGATAAGCTTTTACCCCAAATTCAGTATTTATGAACTGCTGAAAATGGAAAAAAAAAGTTGTCCTAGCACTGGACTGGTTGATAAAATTGCACCATCAAATTTGCCCATTATTTTCAGGCTGCTGAAAATTGTTTGAAAAATCAATCTCAGAGCTAGAAAAAGGCCTTGTCTTTCCGTCATCAGTCTAGCATCTGCAAATCCACGCCGGGCTGTTTCCACTCCCACACTTGCCCTGCCCTTTCTCACTCTCTACCTTTATGGTCTCCATCTGTTGATTTTTCCCCCTCCTTGGGATCTGCCTCCACTGTCCCTTCAAAATGAAGGCTCTCTTGTTTTTCTTATTTAGAATTAGTTGCTACTGTCTCATTGTTCTCTAGGCATTGTGTGTTATCAATATCGCTGTCGTAGCCTTTACCGTAATCTGCTGTGTACTTATGTATTGGGTTGCCAAAAATATTCGTTTGGGTTTTCCATACGATATTATTCCCCCCGCCCCTTGTTGTTTGAATAAATGAATAGCTAGATACAAAGCTAGAGGAGAAAATGAGCTTTGAAGATGTTTAATAATCTTCCCAGGGCCACACAGAGTTATGGGCTTCACTGAGTCTTAAGTTTTCTTCCAGCATATTTTCTCCCCTATTTTAATGCCAATAAATCTTTTCTTTTTGCCTAATTTGATTCATTCTATACCCTGGTGGCTCAGATGGTAAAGAATTTGCCTGCCATACAGGAGACCTGAGTTCGATCCCTGGGTTAGGAAGATCCCCTGGAGAAGGGAACGGCCACCCACTCCACTTCTTGACTGAAGAATCCCATGGACAGAGGAGCCTGGGGCCTGGCAGGCTGTCTGTGGGATCATAAAGAGTCAGACACGACTGACTAAAACACACACAGACCATACATACATACATGTATATATAAACACACACACATACATATAATATACAAACAGTCCCTTTATTACAATAAAGCTGTCTTTCCAGGGCTCTAGTTGGTTACATGAAGATCAGAATGCAGTTTTACATAGACTCCGTATTACCGTGGAGGGAAGTTACACTCAAAAGCCAGCTCACAAAAAGACTACTAATTCAGAAAGGTGTGCTGATCAGCTTCACATGGGCCTAGCTCAACTCAGCTAGCCTTTCCCGAATTCCTCACCTCTATCCCACATTCCTTTGTGCAGCTGTTCTGAATCTCCAGCCCCACCTCCTTGTGGGACAGCAGCACATAATGTGGTTTACTACTTTTACTAAGATGGTTTAGGTCTGTGGTTCTTAAACTTTAATATGTTTAAAAATCACATGGCACAATTTGGGGCTTACTATAATATAGCCTCCTCTCCAGAGATTCTAATTCAGGTGGTCAGGGCGGGGCTCCTGAATTTGCTTTTCTAACAAACTCGCAGGTCCTACCAGAGGACCTCACTTTGAGAACCCTGACTTAGACCATCTTATACGATAGGGTATCTTCAACACGAAACTGTCCAGATTTTTATCCTCCCTCTTTTTTTTTTTTTTCTGAATTCTGTCCTACAGAAGCCTTATTCTCTTCTCAAGCTGAACCTTGTCACTACCAGTTTTTTATTTTGTCCGTTTCAGGACATTGCTCCAGCATTTAACTCTTCTGTGTCTGTGCATCTTTTACATCATCCACTCTGATGCCTTTATTTCTTTTCTACTTTATTAACAAAACTGCTGAAATTTCCTGTCAGGTGTACTATTTAAGATACACTTGACCCTTGAACAAAATGAGTTTAAGCTGCGCAGGTCTACTCACACTATAGATTTTTTTCAATAGCAGATACTGCAATAGTACATGATTTGTGATTGGTTGAATCCATGGATACGGAGGAACCACAAATACAGAGGGCCAGTTATAAGTTATACTCAGGTTTTCCACTGTTGCAGAGTCAGTCAGCACCCCTAACTCCTGCCTTCAAGGGTCAGATACATGTAGCTGTGTCTAGTGATTATAAATGAATTAATATTTCTATAAAGATACTTGACTATTTTGGTTCTCTAGGAATTGTAATTTGGCTTCCAAGTTTGTCTTTTTGTTTGTTTTATGGAATGGATGGAACTGACTAATGACATGTCATAAAAGAAACTGAACTTGGACTTCCCTGTATCCTAAGGAAGGTCTGTACCTCTCGGTATTCAAACAGCACCCTAGGTTCAGAGATCTGAATTTGCTCCCCTCTTGAGGCACTGCAATATAGATATTCCAGGCAAAGGCACTCCGCCTCCTCTAGGCAGTTAGAGGTGGGGGAAGTGTGGACCAAGTGTACTTTGAAAATTTCACAGTGAACCATTTTGCATTCTGATTGTTTTCCTTACTTAAGAACTTTGCATAAGGATGCTATGTCTGTTCCTCATCACTGATACCTTTCATTTGTGTTATCACATAATTAATCTTAACTGTAAATCATAAGTATACCAAATCATTCTAAATTGACTCATTTCTGCCTATGTTCTTAACATTAAGTCTTTTCCTAATTCAGTATTGTTGTTCTTTGGATGACTGAGGAATCAGATAAAGCATGTATGTAAGACATGTAAAAGAAATGGAAACTTTTCTGCTTTATTTTCTAAAATTGGTTATATTCCTATGACATGTGCACCTTGATTGGTTCACTTATAACTGACTCTACACTATTTAAATTATCTGGCAGAAACGTAGTGAAATGTTGTCTTCTACCTAAGATGTATATTCTTTAACAGACCATATTTTATTCCTTTTGGATCCTTAATAATATTATGATACAGGGCTCTGAACTTATTAATCAGTGACAATTGAATGAATGAATGGTAGTCATGAGTGACATAATGTAAAGCGTTCAGTCGCTCAGTCGTATCCAACTTTTTGCGACCCCATGGACTGCAGCACGCCAGGCTTCCCTAACCATCATCAACTCCCGGAGCTTGCCAAAACACATGTCCATCGAGTTGGTGATGCCACCCAACCATCTCATCCTCTGTCATCCCCTTCTCCTCCTGCCTTCAATCCTTCCCAACATCAGGGTCTTTTCCAATGAGTCAGTTCTTCATATCAGGTGGTCAAAGTATTGGAGCTTCCAACTTCCCTTCAAATGTCTCATTTATCTTAATTCAAAGGATGCTTTTAAAATATTTAATGGTATGATATTATTCAAATTATTCCTCTTTTCTCTGCATGATTTATAAAAATACTTGCATTTCATTACAACGCATTACATAACAGTTTGTATTTTTTAATCCAAAAAATGAGTTCCAGAGCATCACTTAACAAATTTGCAGAAAGGAATCTTCTGCTTAATGATAGCCTCAATAGGCTTAGTAATTCATAATCCATTTTTTCTCCTTGTTTTAAATATGCTATTGCTATTGTCACATCAGTTTTCTTCAGAAAATATCATAAATGAGACTGTCATTTTCATGGTGAATCTTGGTAGTCAAAAATCCAATGACTGAACTGTCTTCCCATTGCTCCTTAAAGGACCAAAGTGGTTCTGGAGTCTGGGAATGTGGAAAGGTTCTCTTCCCAGGGGAGCAGTTTTATCAAATAGAATATTATTTAAAAAAACAAAGCAAAATAGGATATTATAATCAGTGTTTTTTAGTGTATTGGTTTAGTGTATGGGAAACATTTTATACGTCTAGTTCGTTGGCAATTGGCTGTTATTTTTAACTAACATATTTATTTTTAAGCCTTGGCAAACAAATTTAGGCCAAGAAAAGCTCCATCTTCTGTGATTATTTTGGACATCTGGCTTACCTTTTTTGTGACTCAGTTTCCAAATTGGCTTAAAAGAAAATGCCTACCTATCACAGTGCAGTTCATCAGTAGGATTAAAATGAATAGAGATCATGATATATAGCACCATTAATAAAAGGCCCTTAGAGACCAAATCACAAAATTATAAATCAACACAGATGACCTACCAAAGGTTGGATTCCTAGATGTGGTTTCTTGAGACAGTGGGCCAGATTTGTTCTTCACTTTTCCATGATACTCATGAAAAATCAGTTAAGAGGTAAATGCTATTTGTCCTCCAGTGGAGGAAGACTGAGTTGTTATACCCATTAACCTGTAAGCAGAATATTATTTAAAACACTAATAAAGATTACTGCCTATGTAACTTAAAGCCCCTGAAAATGAAGCTTAGACTGTTGATATTTGTCAGTGGTTCTGAACATGTGCATATCATGAAACTTTTCTGTCAAAATTCAACTTGAAACTTTCAGCTTATCTTGTCCACAGTAGAAATTGAGAAGAGATACTCATATTTTGATACAATTTTTTAGATATAATTAACATAACATATGTTAGTTTCAGATATGTAACAATGATTGATACTTGCATATATTGTGAAATAATCACAATAATTCTAGTTAACATATATCACCATATATATTGTAGTTACAAAACTTTTTTTCTTGTGGTAAAAGCTTTTAAAATCTCTCTCAGCAACTTTCAAATGTACAATGCAGTATTAACTATATTCATTATGCTGTACACTGTATTCTCATGTCTTATTTTAATACCTAGAAGTTTGCACTTTGTGACCCACTTCTCCATTTTGTGTCCCTTCCCCTGGCCCACCCTTGCCCACTTTTGACAACTGCCAATTTATTCTGTGTATCCATGAGCTCAGGGTTTTTTGGTACTTAGTTTTGTTTTATTTAAATTCCACATATAAATCATATGGCATTTGTCTTTCCCTGACTTATTTCACTAAGTGTAATGCTCTCAAGGTCCATCTGTGTTGTTGCGAGTGGCAAGATTTCATTTCTTATGGCTGAATAATATTCCCTCATGTATCTTTACCACATTTTCTTTATCCATTTTTCTATCAATGGACACTTAGGTTGCTTTCATATCTTGGCTATTGTAATAATGCTGCAGTGAACATGGGTATGCATATATCTTTTTGAGTTCCTGTTCTTATTTTCTTCAGGTATAAATATCCAGAAGTGGAACTGCTGAATTATATGGTAGTTCAATTTTTAATTTTTTGAGGAACCTCCATACTAAGAGTGGCTACACCAGTTTACTTTCCCACCAACAGTGCATGAGGATTCCTTTCACATCCTTGCCAACACTTTTTATTTTGTATCATTTTGATAATAGGCATTCTGAAAGGTGTGAGGTGATCTCATTGTGGTTTTGATTTGCATTTCCCGGATGATACGTGATGTTGAGTACCTTTTCATGTACCTGTTGGTCATCTGTATATCTTATGTGGAAAAATGTTCAGATCCTCTACCCATTTCTTTGCTTCCGTGGTGGCTCAGATGGTAAAGAACCCACCCACAATGCAGGAGACCTGGGTTCAGTCCCTGGGTTGGGACGATCCCTGGAGGAGTGCATGCCCCCCACCAATATTCTTGCGTGGAGGATCCCCATGAACAGAGGGCCTGGTGGACTGCAGTCCATGGGGTTGCAGAGTCAGACATGACTGAGCGACTAAGCACACAGCACATCTAACCCATTTTTAAATCACATTTATTTTTGCTGTTGAGCTGTATGAGTTCTTTGTATATTTTGGATATTAACCCCTTATCAGGTATGTTTTGCAAATGCTTTCTCCCATTCAGTAGATTGTCTCCATTTTGTTGATGGTTTCCTTTACTGTGCGGAAGCTTCTGAGTGTCGTATTCTCCCACTTGTGTTTTGTTTCCTCTGCTTTGGTGCTGAATCCAAAAAATCTTCCTTGAGACCAGTGTCAAGGAGCTTACCACTTATGTGTTTTTGAAATTTTATGGTTTCATCTCTTGTATTCAAGTCTTAAATCCATTTGGAGTTAATTTTTGTGTCTGATGTAAGACAGTAGTCTAATTTCTTTCTTTTGCAGGTAGCTGTCCAGTTTTCTCAGCACCATTTCTTGAAGAGACTGTCCTTTCTCTGTTGTACTTTCTTGGCTCCTTTGTTTTAAGCTAATTAACCATATATATAAGGGTTTAGATCTGGACTTTCTCTTCTGTTCCATTGATCTGTGTGTCTGTTTTATGCTCATACCGTACTATTTAAGATGATTAGCTAGGTGAAAACAGAAGTAGAATATGGGATTGAAATAAAGAAAAATCTCCTTATCTTTTCTGTTAAAAACTTAAGTGA